GCCACCGCCAACGCGATCTCCACCACGGTTGCTGGTCAAACGCACGGGCGGCGCTGGCGGTTTGTCCTCTTCACTGGACATTTTTCGTGATTGTTGTAGGGAGTAGTTGTCGACGTCGTCGTCGTCGTCGCCGAGGAGGTGATGATGTTGCTGCTCTTGCTCTTGTTGTTGGCACGCGATAAATTGCCGTAGCGAACAGTTGCGGTTAGTCGGACGTACGATAGCAAACTGAGGCGCGTCGGTGACCGGTAAGCGCTCAACTGCGGCGGCTGAAAGAAGAAAATATATGGGTAAGAATGGAAATACGAGTATAACTACATATGTACAATAACTAGTAATTAGAGCAAGTTGATTTGTTTTGTTTTGTTGTTGAGTAATGCATTTTTTATTGCTGAAGGTTTTGAGACAGAATGGCGATTGTTGTTCGACTTGCAGAGTTTTTTCCCCATTCAGTCGACAGTTAGAACGCTGATAACACACGATGGTCGCAGCGATCGCACACGTCATTGAAATTCGCACTTAAAGAGCGTTTGTCATATTTTGTTTTTTTTTGCAAACAAGGCAATGAAACTGGGGCAACAACAATATGAGACCGAAAGCAAAAAGAGACACTATGATGATGGCGCGTGAAAACGAAGAACGCTGATGAATTATTAAATAATAAAATATATGGCACTCAGATTAGAGACTATATGGACACATAAGCACACAGTCACAAGGAATATGATGTTATACAATAATATTTTGTGTTATCTGATGCCTTTACATTTTTGTTTGCCAAGTTTTTTTTTGCTTATTTTTTTCTGTTCAACGTTGCTGTAAAAAAAAACTGCTACGAGAAATTTGGGCAATTATGTTGAGCCCCTTCTTGGTATCAGCAAGTGATAAAGAACACAATGGCAACAATAAAAGCAATAAAAAGCAACACGCCGAACAAGAGAAGATGCCGAAGAAAAGCCTGAAAACGATAGAAAGTTAGAGATTCGAATATACTCTACACGATCTGTAATCTCCATGGGCGCGCCAGCGGCAGCAACTAAAATAGCAAAACAAGCGGGAGTACTCTCGACGGCGGCAACGACAACGTAGACGGCAGCAAAAAATGTCAATAACTTTGCTGTCGCAAGACATTCCTCGATGTTATTCTTCCGGTTGGCTTTGAAAATGACGGGAAATCCACATACATATCTACATGTATGGTATAAACACATATGCACACAAACAGCCATATTCATACAACCAAACACGTACGCGTGCAAAAATACAATAAATAAATAAACGAAGAAAAATTAAAAAAAGAAAAAGAAGCGAATTTGAATGCGCGCAATGCAACGGCAGACGGCAACGGTGGGGTCTTGTAACCGGCGGGCGGCATGGGCCAGAAGATCAACGGTGGCAAGCGCGTAGGTGACAAGAGCGAGTGCCCCATAAATTCTTTAAGAACACTATATTTACTAGATAAACAGAATACGTGTACGTATACATATGTATATTAGGGTGGTCCAAAATACACAGAAAAGTTAACTTTTTGGAATTTTCACGCTGCCACCCCCGAACCGAATATTGAAAATAAAGAGACTCGGTATTTTTTAGTTTGAAATCGGTTAATATCACTGGTTTACAACAAAAATGTTCTATGCATACCACTTTTCAATTACCATGTACCGGAAATCGAGTTAATATTTTTTTTCTATGGATACGTTTTCGAGAGGTTTTCAATTTCAATTGGACCCTTTTAATCACGTATATATTACGAACCAATTTAACAATCTTAATATACGACAAATGAAAGCTAATGAAATTCTCCATAAACCGTATATATGTACATAACTTTCCGATAGAGCTTAAAGTTTCTGAAAAACTAATTAATCTTTCCAGCTCTTTTTATTTTTCAATGAAAAAAATCAAGCTTTAACAGTAGAAAAATTTAAAAAATAACAGGTTCTGTGCCAAATTTTTGCATTTGTGCTAAAAAAAAATATAAAACCAAATTACTAATAAATTACTAATGAAGAAAATCGATGTATAAATAAGAAATAATGAGTGGTCGAATGAAAATACGCAAAGATTTGTTGTATGAAAAATGAGCAGGGAAGAAAGTTACTCATACGCCACGTACACCTGAGTAACACGCTTTTTTGCTCTTGTTTCATACAAAAAAATCTTTGCGCATTTTCATTTGACCACTCTTTATTTCTTAACTATCCACTGACTTTCTTCATCAGTAACTTGATTTTTTTTTGTAACAGAACAGGCTTTAGTACAAATGCAAAAATTTGACACAGCACCTGCTATTTTTTAAATTTTTCTTCTGTTCTATGACTCAATCTCTATACCCAGCTAAAAAGTTGATTTTGTCGTACAGTGTAAAGTATAAGCTCCAAGTTGCTAAAAAATAGCGTTTATTTTTGGAATTTTTTCACGCATTTTCTTCCATACAAAGTAAATTCATTTCCACATGGAATTTTTTAAATGGAACAAATTTTTTTGACACTTCAATGCCTGTCAACTTAAAATTTACAATTTATCATACTAGAATTTAATGGGATAAAAAACTGCACACTCTAAAAAATTTGATTAACAAGTTTAAAACTTAGATGCTATTTTGAAGAATTTTTATAACTTTTGCACAAAGTTTCAGATGTGAATTTATGTGGTTTTTGTGAGATAATGAGCCACACTTTTATAAGTTTTTATAAAAAAGGAAAAATTTGTTCAAATCTCTCGACCCTATATATTTTTCTGTATGTGTGTATGTAAGAGATAAGATTATCGTTTACGAAAAAATAGTTAGTAAAATTTAAAAATTAAGTAACCATCATAATTTTATTTCTTGAAGATTTATGAAGGAAGTTATTCTAATACGATCAAAAAATATTTATTTTTAATGATTTTATTTTTATTTTTTCCCATGTAAAATATGTATATAGAAAACTTTAAGGCTCGGCATAACGGGCCTTCGTATTTGGTATTGTTGGAAAGCTAATTTATCCGTTACCAGGGTTCCGGTCCCAGTTTTTGTATGAAATAAAAATCGCCCTTGAATTTGACGCATTTCAAACACAGATCCACATCAGTTTCAGGCTTTACACTCCAAAAAATTAATTTGTTAAAAAAATTTGAATTTAGAATCGCTATATTTAAAATGCAAATCGATTTTGTTGAAAATAAAAAGAATACCTAAGTTAAAAGAAATAAATTTAAAACTCATGTTTTTGTTATTCCCAAATTCAAAAGTATGGTGCCCTACTTTTTGGCACTTTGAGAAATAATGCGTTTTTTGCAAATGCATCGCATTATTTTTTTATTTCTTGTTTATACCATCAGATGTATATTACCTCTAGCTATTATTTTACAAATCTGTTGCTTTAATAAAGATTTTATGAATTTTATGCATAATCTCGATGCCTGGAGTCCAGGGTTACCAAATCTCATTTTTGCCACAACGCGCTGACAATTGTTTAAACGACATTGTATTAAGTGATAAACGCGTGCTAAAAAAAACGGATCTCCTTATTTTTGATGATCTTCTGTTCTAGGGGCTGACTGGAAAAAAATCTAGAACCAGCCTAATGAAAATTCTGTATATGTAGTATAAATTGTGCCTATTTGCATCGCTATTCAGTGGATAGGTGGAAGGTAAGAGAGAGAGAGAAAGAAAGAGAAATGTCAATGATTTCAGTAGTTTCGGCAGCCAAGAAAATCCAAAAACTAAAAAGTTAACATCAACCCACGCGGCTAAAAATAAGTGAGGGCGCAAACAAAAAAGTCTGAAATCAAATAAGATACGATATGTACATACATACATATGTATATAGAAGCAGCATTGTCTACATCAGAAATTGAGGAGTCCCAACGAATCGAAGTGGTTTGGAGCGGAGGTGGAAGACAGAGATGGTAACGGTGATGCTGACGGTAACAGCAGCGAAGAATGAGAAAAACAAATAAAAAATATGCCGCGTAATCAATGTTGCCAGATTCATACATTTAACTGTTTTTACAGTTTTTTAGACAAGCTTACATTTGTTTAAATTACCTCCTAGTAGAAATTAAAGTTTTTTAGAAGTTTACGATTTGAACGAATAAATTAAAATATCTCTTTCGGTTTTTTGTAAGTATTTAAATTTTTATGATAAAAGGAGACAATGAATTTCCTAATTGGAAACCAATAGTTACAGCTGTCCATTGCAATGTTTTCCCAAATCAATGTGAATGAAACAAGAAACAAACAGCAGTCTCTGGTATTTTATTTTACTTTGAAGGAATCTTATTTTGTTATTTATGTTTAATGAAATAAAAAAAACTCAATTTTTTAAACTCTTTTCGTTATTTGAAGGTTGCAGTTTTTTGGTCGAAAATACCTTTTTTCTGGAAATTTACAGTTTTTTGAAAAATAAATCTGGCAACACTGCGCGCAAGATACAATCACAACACACACGTCTGACTGCCTGTCAATTGATGAACCACAAAAAAAAACACTGAAAAAGAATTAAAAAAAGTTAAATACGCAAACAAACAGAAATTGCGTAGGCCTACTAAAACCGAATCGCATAGATGAAATATTAAATGAATTAGAATTTGTATTGATTTATGCATAGTTCAAGCGTAAGCATATGTACACTCATA